GCTGAAGTCAAAGGTGTGTGTGGACTGGAGTGGGTATGGTCTGTTGTCTGCCTTGAAGCTTGTGACTAAGAAGATTCCTGTAGTAATTTTGAATTAGGCATAAGTTAGTTACAAACCAGGCTTTACCCTCTCCTCAGGAGTTGGCTTCACCTGTGATAAGACTTCAGTATTTTATCCAGAAAAAAATTGACTTCAGGCACAGAGGAGACTTGGAGAGATAGGGAATTAGGTCTAATCTAAAAAGAAAAAAAAAAAAAAAAAAAAAAGCTCAATTACTCCCTCAGTTCTCCAAACCCTCAGTTCTCCAAACCACCCATGGTATTTATAGAAACATTTTTTGGGGAGGTTGAAAACACCACCTCTTGTTAGTTGGATGCCAGAGCCTCACCCCTGAGCAAAGCTCTTTGCTATGTAAATCAATTCTTCCAGCTGAATGGGAAAACATGTTAGCATTTAAAGACTAGAAGGGTTCCACTGTTGTCCTTAATGCAGCATGTGGTTTAGAGGGTTGGTCTTCACTATATACTAGTATGGATCCTATGGTGAGCACTGCTTATGCACTTCTGCTCCCTTGGTGCGTATTGGCATACCAGTGCTTGGTGTCAGGAGTCTTGTATGCTTAATAGTAAGGGTCCCAGCTGTAGCCCTGTAACCAAACACCTTCGTGATAGTGCATGACTTGCTGAAATACTGGGACCTGTGATGCTCAACCTTGGCTTGCAGCTGAGGCCTGCTCAAAGGGGCTGTTACTGTAGCGTGCTGAAAGCCAAGAGAAGTTAACAGTTGCTATGCTGTTTGACAGCATGTTTCATCTCCTCTGTGCTGAAGACAACTTATTCTAAGATAAGACCTGTGAACAAGTTTATGTAAGGGAAAAACTGGACTAAGGACTTCAGTTTTCATTTGCTTGCTCCTATAAACAGACTCTGCTTAGTGATAAATGAGACTCCTTATGCACTTGCGATGAGTGACTTTTTGTGCCGGAGACTGAGGGGACCAAGTATTCCCATAATCCCCAAAACAGACTCCACATAATCCTTAGAGGTGTGTTTTTTTGTAATATACCACATACTTTTCAAACTAAACTGTTTCCCTGGGACATATTTAACTGAAAAAAATCATTGCTCTGCATGCATTGCCACTGCTCTAGATGTGGCTTGGTCTGGCCTAATATTTCCTAGGCAGAATAAAGCAGGTCCTGACTAATGAAACAAAAAAATACTATTGAAATGAATGCTACTCCTGTTTCTTTAGCATGATAGCAACACTAAGATGTACACCACTTCCAGTGGGCTTATCCCTGCGTAAACATAGGTTTTAGCTGATCCAAATTATGCAGAGCCCACAATTAATTTTTAGGCAGACTGAGCTTTCCCAGGCTCTGTACTTTTCTTATACTCTTTTTAAACCTCATTTGCTGCTTTTTATAATTCCCATGTCATACAGGTGTTTACAGAGCAAACTACCTGATCTAGAGCAGTGTATGACAAGGAAAAGGTAAATGATTATAAAAACTGACAAGTTTCCTCAAAAGTACCCCTTGAACAACCAAAAAAGTTACCTGTTGTGGACCTCTGATGGTGTACTGAAAACTGAAACAGGTCTTGTGCTGTTTGTGAAAAAGTTGTCTTGGAAAAAGTGGAAGACAGTTTTTAAATAAATCATAGTTTTCATTTGTAACTGGGTATAAGTTTCACTGGGCCACTTCTGTAGCATTGAAGAGCCAGCTGAGATTGTTCACACAGTTAAAGTGAAGTTGTGATTTCAGTCCCTGAAATTAAAACTGTTCTTAAATAAGTGTGTACCGTATTACTGTTTAATGCTAGGGTACTATGATTCTTCAGCCCTAGTGCAAGGTAGGCTGTAAGTCCTGTTTTCAGGAAGCTTTTCTTTCCAAAACTTGAAGTAGGATTTCCATTGTGCATAGCTAAAAAGAAAAGTTTCAAATATCAAGTATTAAAGCATGGTAAGTTCCTCACATTACACCCTGTGAGCAAAACACAACAGTCCATTGCAAAAAGCATAATGGTGGAAGGTGAAGCCTAGATGGGCAACCGGTCATTATTGATATATTAATCCTGTTCTTTTACAATTGCTAAAAGACTTTTAGTATGGCAGCACCAAAAAAAAAAAAAAAAAAGCTTCAGCATCTGATAAAGGTTCAGCATCTGGGTGAAGGTTTATGTTCTGCCACAGGAGGGCAGCAACTGCCAGCCTGACAAGTGGCAAGGCAGCATTCCCCCCCCCCCAAAACGTAATCCACTTTTTCTTTTTAGCCACTTATACTGGTTTTTTTTGCCATTGTAAGAGAAGCATAGAAGAGCAACAGTTTAGGAGTCACTCGTGTTGTGTTAGCCTGGCTCCTAGTTGATTGTACCATTGCTAGCATGGCTATATTAAATAGTCACACCAATGTGCAGGCAGCGCGGCAGAAACACTGACAATACCACATCGATGCTTGTTGACTTTGTAGCTATCTGCAAAGGAATTGGAGAATTCTCTGGCTTTTGTGGTACGCTCACACTGTCTGGACTGCTTTACATGCCATTCAGGTTTGGGGACACTTCTATAAATACACTGTGGGTAGAGTAAAAGCTTCGAGATACACATTGCACACTTCCCTCCCGAAGAACCTGGTTCTGTAGCCAGAGCTGGATTAGAGAGATGAGAATGCAAATACGTATAATTTCGAGGAGTGGAGAGAATAAGCCACTATGAAGACAAGCCTGCCTTTTATGTTGCTGCTTGCATTGCTCACACTGCGTTTTCAATTTTAAGTACAACGTTCTAGTTAGGACTTGCAAATAAGTATGCAAGTTTCATTACTAATGAAAAGCTCAAAACCAAGAACTATTTATAGAAGAAGCACAGGCTGAACTGCACAAGCTCCTCTGCCAGCCTGCCTAACCAGCTGGATGTGAGGGGTGTTTGCAGAGTGACAGGGCAGTTAGGGCTAACTGCCCGTTCATTCCTTGATGGGGCTTCTAAAAACACCTAAATTGCTACAGGGTTTGTATCAACAACTGGTAAGTAGAAATTGGACGAAGCACTAGGTAAGCTGAAATTCAGCCTGTTGCTGAGGCCAGTTTGAGCTACGTTTTCCTGTCCTTTTAATCTTACATGCACAGTTCTCAATCTTGCAGCAGACGGACCACTCAAGCAATACTAAATAAAGACAGACCACACATGCAATAAAACAATATGTCCAGATGTATTTAATGCAAGAAGGTTGGTGTTCAATGGCACTCATAAATAAGAGACTTTGTTCGACATTTTACAAGTAAAGCTATCAGTTATACTACATTAGCAGGTACTTTTGAGGAAGAGGCAGCTGCAGGGGATAATTTAAGTTGTATCAAGACTTGAATGACCAAACTGCATCAGAGGGTTGAAGTGAGAATAATTCCATTGTCAGGCTTCAAGATTGCTTTCAGCACTAAGACTGGGCAATAAGGTAGGTTGCTTTGCTCCATTACTACCCCTCAGTTTCTTCCTCTTCTATTGCTAAATTTATATAGTGAAACAACTGGGGAGAAGGAGCAGAAATGAGAATCAGAGTAGAGTTTATCTACGTGCTGTCCCGACAAAGTTACCTGACCGAGGAGGAGAGAGCTCTTCCCCGTCCCTGCAAGCTGAAAAGTCCCCGCTCTTCATTACAGATTTAACTTTCTCCCTAAGTGCTTTGGCTGCCAACAGCGCTGACAGTGGTTTCTTTGTTACACAAACAGTTCCCGATGGCCCCAGCATGAATGTCTAGTTGTTACTGAAATACTAGAATTTTGCTTCACGCATTCAAAAGAAGCAGGGATAGCCCAAAGTATTTAAAGAATAGAATAGTTCCTCTGCTTAAAACATTCATGCTAACCAGTTTTACAACTGTAAGCAGAGTCCTACCTGATTTAGTTACAGCCTAGTCCACTATGCATTCCCAGAATGGGTGTTCTTTGAATGAATAATGGCTATTTCATAAAGCTGACTTACATTATCATGCTTCTAATATTTAATATAAACAAATACACGTCTGCTAGAAACAAGACACTCCACACTATATAACACCATATTACAACTACATATGAATTGCATGTCTGGGTGAAACAGTAAATGTGAAATTCAAAGCAAGTGCCACCATTGGAGTTTCACATCTTGCTTAAAAAAAAAAGAAAAAAAGAAAAAAAAAGAAACTTGTGTTGGGGACACACTCAAATTTATATGAATTCTTGAGGGAGAAAATTGCACACACCATTTCGGGGCAAATTCAATCTTGAAGGCTGAAGTCTCCCCACAAGCCTTTACATTTAAAACTGCTTTTGAGCATTAATTTGCAGTTATAACTTCTTATTTTGAAAACAAGTATCAGGAAGACAAAACAATTAGTTTGCAATATTATCAGAGAGGTTTCTTTGTTTTGTTTCAAGTTAAACTGGTGAAACTTCATCCAATACTAAAACATGACCCTGAAGCCACTCAAACAGGATCATGGCTTTACTTCCACAGACAAATAAAAATTCTCAAGATTCTCCTCACATGGAGAAACTTCCATGTTTTAAGGGGGGGGCTACTCTACATGACACTGGCACACTTAAATACCCAGATAGTTACTCCATAGTCACTTTTCTGCATAAACATTTTTTAAAAACCAACGCCCAGATATTTAAAATATGTTATTTTAATACTGGCTGGGGTGAGCATGTCTGGAAATCTTCCAAGTCGCTACGACTTACTGGCATAAAAATGCCATTTGAATTAGCTATTAGACCGATTATGGTATTTGCGTTTTCATTTTATTCACAGCAAAGTAAAGTTCAGAATACTTTGAAGCTGCTGCAATATTTGAAACAGCTGTTAAATTATTAAGTAAGGTTGGAAATAACATGAAACATAGAACGTCAACAACACGACATTAATATCAAGATAACTCTTTGGCAAACTCCA